GTTTCTTTTTTCCTCATTCTCCAAGGCTTCTCAGTCTCGGAGACCCCAAGAGATGCCATTAATACAGATTCCTCCTCTGGCCCCTTTGAGACATTTGCTTTTGAAGGACCTGGAAGAGAAAGCTCTTTGTATGTGGCCAGAATAAACTCATTGTACACCCAAACAATTAACTCCTCAATGGACTTGCCAGCCCCTTGAAAGGCCTGGCCCTGCGTCCCTGGACCTCTTGGGCTCTATTCAGTCCCTTAAGCACACCAATGTTTTTGGGTTTTTGTTTTGTTTTGTTTGTTATTCTGAAAAGTCTTTCCCTGAGAATAGTCCGAGCGAATCAACATTGTCCTCAGCCCGGCATTTATCTCTCCTCGCCAGCAAATGTCAATCAGGAATCAAAAAGCCAAACAGAGGAGGCTTTGAACAGTGTCATCGGGGGTCGAAGTGACTTCCAGCTGTATGTGCGTGGGCCAGGCCTTCTCTCAGGGCAAGGAATTGTGCTGTCACACAAACCCACTGTCTGTATAGGCTCACAGAGCCCATGTGGGGGCTGCAACTTTCTGGGGCTGCACCTGCAAGGACAAGGCATGACTGGGGGCTGGGGAGTCTCCAGAGGCCAAATGCCAGGGCTCTGGGACCAGGCGGTTTCCAAAGCTGCTTGCTGCCTCTGGGACCTTGAGCAAATCACGTACTTGCATTGTTACTTAATTCTCTTTTTATCTGCCTGTTTTTTCCCTCTGCCCTGGCTGGTGCTGAGGATAGATAAGGAAAGCTACCTGCCAGGAACTGAGTATTGCAAAATGTGGTAATACTATTATTACTGTTGCTCTTGACATCCTCCTTGAGGATTCTTTCAGTTTGCCTTGTTTGTTTTCATGTTTCCAAATTTGCCTTTTACTCCCTCCTTGTAAGAAAAAGGACAATCATTGAATTGGCTTTTTTTTTTTCTCAGTGTTTATCCTCTTCCCCTTAATCTGAAAAATTATTATGGTATTAAAGAGAAATATTCCCTGAGGTACAAAAGAATCACGAAGAATATGCACCAAACATCATCACATGCATATACAGATTCAGATACATTTTCCTTTAAAACAGACGGAAGAGTCTTTCCCCAAATTAAGGACCACTCAAATAATCTGGCTGCTGCCGCCTCATGATTCATTTGTGATGACTTTGGCACATCCCCCTTTTGGTTTTAACAGCTTTATTGAAGTATAGTTTACATACCATAAAATTCACCCATTGTAAATGTACAACCCAATGGATTTAATAAATTCATAGTGTTGTGCACCTGTCACCAGAGAACGTCTCCATCGCCCCCTAAAGAAACGTTGAATCCATTCGCAGTTATTTTCTACTCCTACCGTTAGCCATAGGCACCCCCACATCTGTTGTCTGTGTCTATAGGTTCAGCCTTACTAGACATTTCATATAAATGGAATCATACAACATGTGGTATTTACATCTGAATTTTTTCAGTTAGTATAATGTTTTTGAGAGTCTTCATCTAATTGTCACATGTATTAGTTATTCATTCCTTTTAATTGCTGAATAGTATTCTACCAATTTATCTATTCACCAGTTAATAGACATTTGGATTGTTTTCAGTTTGAGGCTATAACGAATAATGCTGTGGTGAATATTTCTATACATGGTTTTATTCTCCTAGATGGATTCCTAAGAGTGGAATTTTGGGGTTGAAAAGTTTAGCATTTTACAGAGACTGCCAAATTCTTTTCCAAAGTGGATGCCCAGTTGCACATTCTCACCAGCAATGAACAAGGGCTCCATTTCCTCCACATCTTTGTCAACACTTAATATTGTCTATCTTTTTATTTTAGTCATTTTAGTGACTGTTTAGAAGTATCTGGTTGTGGTTTTAATTTGTACCTTCCTAATGATGTTGGGCATCTTTTCATGTATTTATTAGCCATCTGTATCTTCTTTGGTGAAATGTCTGTTAAAATATATTGTCCATATTTAAATAAGTTTGCTTGTTATTGAGTTGTAAGGTTTACCTTATTTTCAGTTTAAAAACTTTGATAGGATTTTAATTTTGTAAACCCAGTTTTAAAAGTAAGCAGTTGAATAAGATGGTTTGCACTCATGAATTTACAGATGCCCTTTAGTAGGCTTTTAAAATGTTTACACCTACACAGTGTCCAAGAATTTTATAGTCAGGCATCCTTCGATTTTGGAAGAGGATATTGCTATCCAGAGAAGTAAAAGGAGGGACTCAACTTATCCAGGGTGTTAGATGTATTCGATGTAAACTTATTAGACGTGAAGGGGGAATTGGAGTGTGACTCCCTTTGAGACCGGGAGACAGAAGCATACATAGAAACTTTGCTCTCTCCCCAGGGCCCAGTGTGCGGCCTGGTGTTGATCCAGGGCTTGCCTGGAAGCAGAACTGATGTAGACCTTGGACGTAGGCCTTGGACTTGTGTTTGGTAGAAGAGGTACGCTTATTTGCTGGGTCAGAAGCCAGAAGCCCAGGTGCCCGGAGATGATGGTTAGAGGGTGCTGTACGCTTTGGCTTGGCTTCCCAGCCTTTGAGCATGCTGGATTTCACAGGTGGCTCCTGGCAGTGGGGCACCTTGTCTTTTCTCACTTCATAAAGATTTCCATTTAAGACCTCCCTGTGGCAGAGCAGCTGTATCTCTTTACCCTCAGTGACCCTACCCTGCAGGAAGATTCCCTCCCTGCACGTGGCTTTATGCCTTATGGGCTTCTCTGACTGCATCTGGGAAACCAGCAGAAGTCCTTGATGTGCAAAAGTGCAAAGCTTCCCCAGAAAACGCTCTTTGCCTTCCTTGAATGCAGACCTTCTTTGCTGATGGCTGGGCCAGATGGGCAGTCCAAGATTTTCATATGGATGATGGGAGAAATAAACAGAATGTTTTCAGTTTTCTTGCTCCAGAGAAGAGATATGGCTCTTGTAATGTGGGAGGATTTTAATGTCTACATTGAATATTAAAATATTGCATAAGCCACATGCACTTGAGTTCTCACTTGTCCCTTTTGGAATGTTTGATTTTTCACTTTCCCTCTGTCAGCCTGTAAGACTCCTAAAATGAAGCCACCCTGTGTGGAGGGGCTGAGCACACTGTGCTGGACTATTTAGACGGTGAACTCTGTATCCGGCAGGCACAACCAAATGTGCATTGCAGCTGCCAAAAGACTCAATTCAGTGGCTCATTGAATTCAATGGAAAGAGGTGTTAATAGACTCAGGGGAAGTGATGCTATTAAAAAAATGACATTGTGTGGCTCTGTTCTCTGTTTGTCCTCCCTCAATGACTTCCAGATCAAACTCACAGTTTGGCATGAAAAAATGCCTGTTTGGACTCTAGTTTGAGGCAAATAAGATATCCAGCATAGATATTCCTCTCTTCCTGCTACATCTCATTACTTGGGATGATTGTCAGGTAATTCAGGATCACCTTGGCCCCTGCAAGAGTTGGGTCTTGATGTCAGCACATGAGAATAATAGCAGGGTCAGGTGTCACACAACTGTCAGCTCAGCTGCTGGCCTCAGCCTCTAGCAAGGGTTAGAGTCTCCATAGCTCTTGAATCTTAAGATCCCAGGGGTGAGATGTTGATGCAAAAAGGAGATCAGGACTCTATATTCTCTCTCCCTCCCCCAGTAAGATGCAGGAAAGTCGGCCAAAGGTACTGAGAGCTCCAAGTGGTAGAGGGTTGTTGTTACTGATGATCTGAGTGGCGTCACAGAGACTATCTGAGACCTTGCATTCTGCATAAATAGTTAATGCTCAGAGAATATAGTGTTCCATCCTAAAAGACCTCTAAGGGGTCTTGAGAAGAGAGGCATGGTGTAATCATCAAACCACCTGAGACAACAGTGCTCTCCTTCCCTCCCCCGATGGAGAGAGAAGCGAAGAGAAATCTCTAAACTATGTGTTCTTAAGAGGGACAAAGATACCTGCGCCCAGCCTTCTCTAAGGGGGAAAAATTATTTCTTAGGGGATGAAAAACACAGACTCGTTTTACATATGAAGCACAAATATATATATGGTTTATTTGAGTTATTAAAATTTCATTAGGGAGATGATTAGGAAAAAAGTAATTGCCTAAAAATGCTCCTTACCTGAGTGATAATGGAAAAAAGTTGAGAGACACAGCTCTAAGCTAAGGTTTTGGGGGACCCTGTTGAAAGAACTCAAAGTCCTGGAAGGTAAATAAACAAAGCCTGCACTAACTCCTGACCTGCAGATGTTCTTGCTGTGCAGAGAGGGCTGCAAACACTATTAGAATGATAAGCATTAGGACTTTGTTATTGGGAGCTCCCTGCTCCAGTCATCGGTGTTACAAATTTCAAAGCAAGCCTAGGGTGATTTCTGCAAAGTCCCATGTCCTCTCCCATTTTGTTCGCCCTCCCTCTTATTGGGAATTGGGGTGTTTGCTATTTCACAGCTAGAAGTATTCTAATGATTCCTGACTCTTCAGTTCCGTGTGCTGGAGAGAGAATGGATCTTCCTGCCTTCTCATCTTTTTTCAGATGGCAGTGGAGAAACAGCTAGGAGTTTGGAAGTGAATAGCACACAGGTCTCTTGTTTTCCATAAGCTCTTCAATCAGGGCCACTAGAAAAAGGTCTGAGCTGGTAGTCTTAGGGCAGGAAAAAAGCTGGGGACACCAGAATTTGATGCCATAAGGGTTCCCAACCTTATCCTAACATACCTGACCGTAACTCAGGGCTGAGAGGGAGATACTGCCTCCCAGTTTTCCTGTGGGAACAAGGGCTGGCAGAGTCCTATTGGTAGCCTCTGATTTGTGAGAAACGGTCTCCCAAAGCCATGCCTTGGGATGGTGAGACACACCTGGATTTGTTTTACTGTTTTGTCTCTCTGTGGTTCTCGTTTCCTTCTTGCTCTTTTCTTCTTTTGTTTCTTTACCTTTGGCCTCTTCACTGGGACTTGGCCGGGCCTTGTACAAACCCCAACCATTCAACAGTGCTGGAGAGTAGATAGTATTTACCTCAATAATGGTAGTCTCCTTTCGGTTCTTCTTAACCCTCAATTCAGATGACGGGTCTAAGCCGACGCCCACGATGGAGACCCAGCCGGTGTTCGATGGAGATGGTAAGCTCCTGCACTACTTCTGACTTTCATTCTCCCACTCATTTTCAGGTTTGGGAAAGGTCTTAACGTTGGATGTTTCTTTAAGTTTGATTATTATTATTTTCTTTTTTAATTTCAATTTTTCCCAGTGTAAACTGGGTTGTTTTAACCTTTTAAAAAATGCGGATCCTCCCAGGAACTGGTATACTCTCCACTTCTGGAAGGGCCCTCTGTTCTCTCAGGCTTCCTGCCTGTCTTCTGATGTCCAACAATAACACAGCCTGGACAGACTCTTGGAGCTGCCAAGTCCCAGGAATCATAGCTGAGAAAGATAGTCAGACCGGTAGTGTCCCTTCAGTAAATTAATTGGCACTTACAAATGCCCACTCTGTGCCTGGCACTGTGTGAGGCTCTCTGGGGGATGAAAAGGAGGTTTTGGGATGTAATCCTTTGCTCTCAAGGCAGCAGCAATTCTTAGAGAGCCTTATATGTTAAATTACCTGGTCTCCGTTCTTATAGACATTTACAGAAGAAAGAGATGACCATGATCTGGGAACAGCTTTTGTGAAGATCCAGGACATGGGTGGGATCTTGAAAGTGGAGGGGCGGAGTCTGGGTGTTCCAGGCAAGGGGCTGGCATGGATAAGAAGGGCATGCGGTACTGATGGGATACAGTGAGGAAAGCAGCAGGAAGGAGATTGGCCGGTGGGACTGGTTTGTGTAGGTTGTAGGGACGTTGAGAGTTGAGGCAGGACATTTTGGAGAGGAGAAATTCTAGGTCAAGAGAAATTGTGAGTGGTGGCAAAAGAGAGGCTGGAAGTCTCTGGAGGTACAGAGAAAGGATAGAAGGAGCGTGGGGTGCAGAAGGTTCATTTGGAGGTGCTCAGGGCCTGTATTCTTCAGTGTACCATACTGAGTACTCCATATTCTCATGATGAGGAACTGCAAGTTTGGGAGAGCGAAGTCTATGAAGTACGACAATAAGGTTTCGATTTTAGTGCAATATGTAGCAAAGTTTGAGCAGCTCCTAGCTAAGTGGATCCAGCCCTGGATCATGAGACTGGACAGTGAGACAGAAGAATAAAAAGAAATCATGCCACTGGTTAACACTGTGGCTGTGGATGTCCCTAGCACAGGCTCAGCTCTGAGGAGGACTGAAATGTGCAATATCCTTTGCAGTCAGCTTGTTTATGGGAAGGTATGTAAGTTCATGTCGGTAAGTTTAGATGTCTCTATGATCCACAGAGGTCCTGGATCATTGACAAGTCTGGGACCCTGGGAGGTCAGGTGAGGAAAGGAGACTATCTCATCTTGGGAGACCTCCCCAGTACCGTCACTGAAGATCACTCCACAGTATGCTCAGGGTCACTTAGGATTCCCCCTGTTCACTGGGTGACCAAATCCTGGAGAACCTGGAGGCACCCTGGTGCTCTCTGGATGGAGGAATTCAGCCTCTGTACATGAGAAGCCATTAGAAAGGGGATTGAAACACACATGAGACCCACTCCTTTCTTTCCCATCTGGAACAATCTCGGCTCAGCCGCTTCCTCTAGAATGGTCTCTGTGGTTTGCTTGGCGTTGGTTTGTTGATTTATCTCCTTTAAATCTTCTCCCAGGGAAGCAGCTGAGAGGGACTTGGCTTGGCCCATGTTTCTTACCTCCTGGGATAATATTTTTATTCCTGGATGGAGTGCTCAGAGCCTCTGAACTCTGACCACTCTGCCTCTCAGCACAGGATGCCCTGATCGGCTCTTATGAGCTGTTGGGGATAGGAGCTTCCGTTGTGAGGAAGGGAGGGAACTGGGAGGAGTGCATGTGGGAAAGAGCTGACACTTCAATGCCTCAGACTTTGAAAAATGGCTATGAAGAAGTCTGAGGTTACGCTTCCACTCACATAGTCTCTTTGACCGGACTTTTTCTCTCTCCTTTTCCCCACCCCTAGAAATCACAGCCCCAACTCTATGGATTAAGCACTTGGTGATCAAGGACTCCAAATTGAACAACACCAACATAAGAAATTCAGGTAAATAACCTTCCTTGGATTACATATGTACCCAATCTATCCTTCTGTTTTTGTTGTTGTTGTTTTTTTTTTTTTTTGAGCTGGAGTCTCACTGTCACCCAGGCTGGAGTGCAGTGGTGCGATCTTGGCTCACTGCAACCTCCGTCTCCCGGGTTCAAGCAATTCTCTGCCTCAGCCTCCAGAGTAGCTGGGATTACAGGTGCCCACCGTCACGCCTGGCTATTTTTTTTTTTTTTTTTGCATTTTTATTAGAGACGGGGTTTCACCATCTTGGGCAGGCCAGTCTTGAACTCCTGACCTCGTGATCCACACACCTCAGCCTCCCAAAGTCCCAAAGTGCTGGGATTACAGGCGTGAATCACCGCTTCTGGCCCCAATCTCTCCTTCTTTGTCCCATGATTCTGTGACTTCCCATTGTGTGGGTTTGGGAAAATAATTTAATCTGTCTGGTTGTCAATTTCTATAGCTATAAAATAAGGAGATTGGATGCGTTAATCCCATCCAGCTTTAATTTTCTTCAATTATCATCTCAGAAATAATTTTTCATAAGTCATTGATACTTTTAACACATTTTTTGACTGTACATTGTAATATTTTGATTAACTTTCCATATACCATGCAGAAGAATTCGAAAGAAGAATGTCTGGATGTAAAGAAGTTGGACTTCAAGCCTGGAGGGGCTCGATTCTGTATATTTTGAAGGCTCTAAATAGCTACTTACAGTCATGTCTTTTCTGGTCTGATCTTTTGGTTGGGGGTCTTGTGAGTGGTCAAGTTTGGGCACTGGCTGAACCCCTTGTAGAAAGGTGATAATTTTTGAAGGATGATCATATCTGTAGGATTTTTTTAGTAGAATCTATTTAATATCAGTAAAGACCAGAGTCAGTAAAGTCCATTTACTATCAATAAAGACTAAATGTTCATCAACAGGAAAATGTGTTCACAAGCCAAATCTGTATCTCTTTGAAGGAGGATCATCTTCTCAACCTAAGGCTTTGTTATGAGAAATACCATTCTGCATAATTTATGCCTCATTGTTGAATGTAGCCATATCATCTTTTCCTTATAGGTGGCAAGTCTATGAAAAAAAGATACATGACTTTGAACCAGCAGGCAGAATTTTACATGACCATTAATTAGTGAGTGTCCTGTCATTGGTCCCCTTTAAGTTGACCTGTGCACCAGCTCTGTCCTAATGGTGGTGATGTGGCATTAGAGTGCAAGGAATGACATAGTGCAAGAGGTGAATTCAAAAGCTATTAGTTGAGTTCCTCTGTGACTTGGGCTGGTCACTGCCTTTTCGTGTGTCTGGTTCACTGATAAAAGTTGGATGGTGGAATGAAAGGAGACTGTGAACTCCCTTGGATCAGTCTTTGACAGAATAGTGCAGTGGTTAAAGCACAGGCTTTGGAATTAGTGAAACCGGGGTTCATATTCCAGCTCCAACACTTAGTGGCCCCAGTCAAGTCACGTAATTCCCTTGAGCCTCAGTTCTCGTTCGTAAAATGGGATCACGGTCTCTCCCTCAAGGACTATGGTTAGAAGTTAACTAAGTTAATGTCTATATGGCACTCAACTGATGCCTGGCTAGCTGATAAATTGTAAGTACATGTATTTGTTATTATCATTATTATTGGTAGGAATAATGGGAATATTAATGATAGTGCTTATTGTAAAAATTCTTATATCAGAAAGAATTTATGATTGTCACCTTAAGCAAAGGGATCTATTCGGCTTCTTCTTAGGATCCCCCTCCATTCCCCTTTTCCTGTTAGGCAAATGTATGTCAAATAGAAGTGGTTTTGGTGTCTGTAGTACTTGGTGCTGGAAGTAACATTTGCAACTGGTCTCCTAGTCCCTGAGGCAATGGAAGGTCTGCGAGGCCCCCATGAGTTAATTCTCATTCTGTGACCAAATGGAGGACAGGAAGGTGAGCTCTCTAAATTATAATATACAGCAAGCACTTTTTGCCTGAGACACTCACTTGGCATTTAACAATTGCTTTGTTGAATTTCTTTTTCACTTACCTGTGCATTTGATTGCTTTGCGGAAGGATGGAGTAGGAAAGATCACCATCATCATTATCAGTAAAATTAGAATAGTACTGTCATAATAGCTAGTTTGTATCAGGTCCTGTGGAACTTTGCATTTGTCATCTCACTTGAGCTTCACCGTAACCCTATGAAATAGCTATTGTTCTTGTCTCCATCTTGCAGATGAAGAGTCAGAGGCTGAGACAGAGGAAGTGACTTGTCCTGATTCATAGCTAAGAAGTGGTTGGGCTGGAGAAAACTAGTTATCTTTGGGAATAGAATGCCTGTTTTCTTGGGCATCATGCTCTGCATGTAGTAAAGTGGTGATGTCAAAGTCAGTTGATAATCTTTGCTTCCGCTGAAGTTCTGCTTTCATTTCTACTCTCCAATTGGATGAGAATAGGGTCACGTTGAGAAATGGATTCTGGGCAGGTTCATCCACCTTCATTTTGTTGGGGTGACCTGGCCACATTTATTTTTCTCTGGCTGACCCCAGTTATATCTGTAAGGTTAGTGTATATGACAGGATAGGTGGGAGAGACCTAACAGTTGGTTCTCTGGGAGAAACGGAGACTAGGGATAATTGTTAGAGATTGATAACTTAGGAATCTCCTACTGAACTGGGACTTTCTCCACCATGATCAACTAGTAATACTGATTGAATGCCTATCAACCTCTGATATAATTATGTATGTAAGATATGGTGCCACAAAGGCCTGTAACAGGGGTTGTCAAATGGTCATCTGCCTGTTTTTGAAAATAAAGTTGGGTTGGATCACAGCCACAGCCATATATTTATGTAGTGTCTGCGACCATTTTCATCTAAATAGTAGAGTGGAATAGTGACAGACCCTGTATGGCCTGCAAAGCCTAAAATAGTTCTTATTTGACCCTTTACAGAAAAGATTTCTTGCTTCTGGCATATATGATTGAAATAGAAGCATTTGGATGGGAGTGTGTGTATGGGGATGTCTTAAGTTTTCTGGCCCCTCTCATAGACCAGGCAGGAGGATGCTTCCTGACATGCCCAGGTAAGCCTGCATCAGCACAGGAGCTCTGAGGCAGCTCACAAGGCTCTTCACCATCTCACACAAACCTTTTCCAAAGCTTTAGCATCCTGTTCTGGTGCATGCTCCCACCAACGGGTTGCCAAAAAAGCATCCTGAGGTTTGACTTTCTTAGGCAGGGTGTAGGGAGTCTTTTGCATGTGGTAGAGACAAACCACGTAATGGCAAAAGCATGGGCTTTGGTGTCAGACAAACCTATAGACCTGGTTTCCTATGCTAGCTTCTCACCAAGAGCCTTGGTGAGCTTGGGAAAGTTAATTAACTTCCCTGAGTCTCGATTTCCTTGTATATAAAAAACAGTTTTAATGCCTTGCAGGATTTTATTGTGAGGACTCAAGAGCATCTGTGTAATGCCTGGCACATAGTAGGTACATCATAAATGAATTTTTAAACCCAACAAAACACTGGTGACTCTTGGTGGGATATCTTTATGTCTTCTGCTAGCCACTTTTCACGTTATTATGCTTGGTTTAATGGGAAGTCAGATATACCTTAATGATCACTTATGTCTGGATATTTGGCTCTGGTAGGGGCTGGAGCCTCTTGGCCAAACACCTGAGGCAGTTTTTCATTAGAGCTTGATGGAAGAGCCTGGGTTCAGCTGAGCTTTAGCCTGCATCCCCAGGGAGGTTGCAGTGAGACTCCGTGAAGCCCACTGGGGTGAGAGCTCTTCTTTTCAGCTGTCTCTTAGGGGCAAAAAGACTATCCCAGTTTCTTTTACACCCCAAGCATCCTTTTTTCACACTCAGACCCTGTGACGCCAGGTTGGTTTTCTGGCCGGCGGACTGTTGATGTTGGAAAGGTTCCACTGGGCAGCTGAAGTTTTGCAATAATATGACACATATGCCTGCAGACTTTCCCAGTCTTTCTCTCTGCTCCTGGAAGTTTTGGCCCTTGTTTCTAAGACTTTGTCATTCACTATGGTCAGTGTCGCCTTTTGAGTACCTGGCAGGTTTAGCATTGACAGATTTACTTCTTTGGTCTTCTCTTCAGTTTTCACCTCCATCGAACCTCTCCTCCGTTGCATCTCCGTTGCACTAGGAATTTCTTTTGCATTCAGGAAGACCACATACCTGGCAAGCTGATACCCTAGAACTTGAGAGCAGCATCTTCCTATAGACGAGTGTTGGATGGAGCCTCTATTCTGCTTTTATAAGGAAATATGAACCATTGCTAAGTTTTCCTTTAATCAGGGGTTGGCCACCAAGGCATTTCTTAATATACCTAGTGTTTAAAATATTTTTTAATCATCTACATGTTATAGATGATAAAGAGATTAAATAAATAACAAGAATTAGGTTTCATCTAATTCTTCATCCCATCTCCTCATGCTTCTAAATTGGACTCTGTGCAAGCACTTTCCTACAGCTCTGATCTGCTTCTTTGTTTCTATATGACAAACTTCCATGCCTTCTCCTCTGGGCAAATATAATCTCTCAGGAAATATGGTCATGTAACTCTTCTCTGTGTACCATGGTAATGTTCCCAAGGCCCACCACTCATTTCCTTCTGCCCTAGTGGCTTGACTCTGTGGCCTCAAGTGGAGTGGAGTGGCATGGCTTCCCTCTTTGTTTTGTCATCTCTTTCTTTCCTTTGTCCCTGTTTTTTTCCAGTTAACTTCTTTCATGATCTGATCAAGGACTTCAAGGAGGCCCTAGACCCAGGCCCTGTGAGTTAAATCAGAAAGGGCCATGCCTTTCCTCCCTTGTCTCTTAGACCCACAGCGCTTCCTTCTCTACATCATTGAATGGAGCGGCTGGCTCATGGTGATTCTGCTCCCTGGAGACACAGCCTTCAGCACAGACACAGGGTGGAAATGCGTTTCTTTTAAGTTTTACCATGCAAGTAACACCCTGGCCTCCTCGTGCATGAGCTCAAAACACTTTACCTATCACAGGTA